CACAGAGCAGCGGGGGAAGGGGCTGGCGGGGCTGGTCAGCACCACTCTCGGGGACAGCTACAATCGCAGTTACAGTCGCTGCTGTGAGAGCCCCCAGGACCGGTCCGCCATCTCCCAGGGCCGCTCCCATCGCTGCCTGCAACAGCCCGAGCCCCGAGGGCACTGCTGGGTGTTACTGTCCAGGAAAGACCAGGTGGGGGAACCATCTAAGCTGAGACCAAAGCCACCCTGCAGGGCTGTGAAGGGGTTTCCTGAGAGCGGCGCCCTGGTTCCGCAGAGACGAGACCAGTCACAGAGTGTCCCCCTGGACCGCCCCACATTCAGTGACCCTGCTGGCTCCATTGACCCAGGGAGAGTAGGGAGCTGGTGCCCTGGGCCATTTCCAGGAGCAGGGAGGAGCCGGTGCATCTGCCCTCATGCTGTGTCCACTCCGAGGGACTCCCCGAGGCTTCTCATCACTCCCCCTCCGCTATCAGCCTCCCCCCTGCTCCCACCACAAGCAGAGCTGGAGCGGAGCCGGTAGCTTAGAAGCGGGGAGGCCGAGCCCTACCTGCGATCCTCGGGACAATTTCAAAGGGCCGGGGTTTCTGACAGCACCTACTGCAGCAGCGGCCGCTACCCTGCACCCTGGGCTGCCTCTCCACGTTACAAGTGAGGGAGGTCTTGGTTGGATACTAGGAAAAACTATTTCCCTAGGCAGTGCAGAAGCGCTGGGATGGGTTCCCTCGGGAGGGGGTGGAATCTCCAGCCCCAGAGGTTTTAAGTCTGGGCTTGACAAAGCCCTGGCGGGGTTGATTTAGTTGGGATTGGTCCTGTCCTGGGCAGGGAGCTGGACTCCATGACTCCTGAGGCCTCTTCCAGCCCTGGGATTCTATGATTCCCCAGCGTGTTTGTGCGCATGCTCAGCTCCCCCTGCGCTCCTGTGTTTGCAGCCCCCTGTTCTTACAAAGGTCGGGCGGCGTGTGACAGGGCCTGGCGCCTGCGCACTGCGGGACTCTAGCTCACTGCCTTCTACGGTCGTGGCCGGACTTGAGTTCTGCCTTCGGACCTGAGCCAGGCCCCTTGTACCAGGGTTTCTCCCGAGGGTGCTCACATCCCACGAGGTCCCCTTTCACAGACTGAGAAACTGAGGCACAGGGAGGTGCAGGGGTCACCGACCATACCAGGGAGAAAGTCAGAACAAGATCCAGGTCCCTTAAGTTCCAGCCTCGTGCCCCACCCCACTAGCCAGCCCCCTTCGCTTCAGTAGCATCGTCATCATCATAGGCCGGGCAAGGCTGGGGGCGGGGAGGGGGGGTCAGAGATCCCAGGAGCTATTTCCGGCAGGAATAACAATGATAATAAACTGTGGCCCCCTCATTGACTCACCCACCTGCCCGGGAACCTCACACACCGATTAGGGTCCATGTGGCACCTTACTAAGGTAATTTACTAACCGACGCCACGGGGCAGGGAACTGCCCTCGGAACCATCCCCGGGCAGAGCTGTTAGGCCAGGGAAAAGTGGAATCTGACGAGCATCGCGGAGTTGTTCCCGTGGCCAATCGCTCTCCCCGTTACATCGCCGCGCTCGGTCTCCGGGCTGAAAGTGTCTGGTTCCAGCTTCCGGCCCGTTAGTCCTGTCACACCTGGTCTGTGGGATTGGAGAAACCAGATTCAATATCTGCTCCCTCGGGAGCAGTGAGTCCCGTGTGAATGGCAACCGATGTCACCTCCCTTTGGATTACTAAGGTTGAGCGCGCTGCGCCGCCCCTGATAAACAACCTGTTCCCAGCCAGTCCGAGCGCCTGGCTGCGATGTTCAAAGGGAGCCAGAGATCGGAGAATTCCAGCTCTCCGGGGCGTGTCCATCGCTGAAACTCCTTTTCCAGCTCCACCCTGTGTCAGAATGGGGCAACCCAGAGGCAGGATCCAGCTTCTAAGCTCTGTGTGTTCTGGTTTTCTTCTAATGCCCAGCGTGTCAATTAAATATTTGACATTTGTATCTCTAGAGCTGCCTGTACACACTGCGGGTTGAAAACAATAAGAAGGAGGAGAAGAGGGATTTAAGGGTTCCATGAAACGGATTCCTCCTCCCCCCCATACAATTAGCCCCACTCCGCACCGGAAGGGCTTTCGTTTACAATCACACAGGCCTGCACACACCTACTGGGTTCCAATTCCTGCCCGGAGATTCTGTCCGGGCACCGACTGCCCATGTTCATTCTGTGACTCGGCAGGACCCAGCGCACTCGGACGCCTGGGCTCACACGTTCAGAGAAGACTAGTCAGTACCTGCACCCAGCTCCCCTGGATTTAGGAGGGTTAATTTAATAACAACTCGTGTCCTGTGGAGTCCAGGAAGAGTTTCACACGCAGGTGTCAGGACTGGGGGGGTCTGGCTCGAAGCTGAGACTTTGTTTTGCTTAAATTGTGTGATGAAAGCCGGTCTGGGATTGAAAGCAGCGGGGGCCACCCCACCCCTCCGCCTGGGTTCCCACCGCTTCTCGCACTGAGAAAGAAAAGGGCCGGAGCCCGCAGCGGTCGCTGGTCGCTTGTTCATTTCCCTGCCCTGTGACCCAGCCACGAGGCCGCAGCGGAGCAGAAGCGCTAAGACTCCTGCGCTCCCCGCCCCTTTCCTAGGGCGGTACCGGGGTGTCGGACTTTATGCAAATCTCCCGCCAGGGCCCGGGTTAAATCGCAGCCCCTGGGTTCCCCGGGACCCGCCTGCCCAGGGGCTGAAGCGAGTTTCAGTTTTTCCTCCTTCTCGTTGCTCCGTTTCCCAGGATGGACCCCGCGGTGTCGCTGCTGCTGTTACTCGCCCTCTCGCCCTGTGAGTCGGGAGGGGAAACCCGGGGGATGATCAAAGCCCCAGGGAGCGAGCTGAGGATCTAACTGTAACGGTTCGTGTCTGTGCAGGTGTCCGGTCCCAAATCCAGCTGGTCCAGTCCGGGCCGGGCGCGGTGAAGCCCGGAGAGACCCTCACCCTGAGCTGCGCCGTGTCTGGTTACACCATTTCTTCTGGCTACGACTGGGCTTGGAACCGGCAGGCTCCCGGAAAAGGTTTAGAATACCTGGGGCTTGTGTATGGACCCAGCGGGAGCACAAACTACGCCCCGGCCTTCCAGAGCCGGATCAGCGTCGCCAGAGACACCGCCAAGAACCAGTTCTCCCTGCAGCTCCGCTCGCTGACAGCTGCAGACACCGCCACCTATTACTGCGCCAGGGGAGACACAGTGACACAGAGCGCAGCAGGGCCCGTACTAAAAGGGGAAGCGGTTTCTGTGCAGCCATTCAGGGCACTTAACGCCTCATTTTCCTCTCGCGGAGAGGGGCAGGAACAGAGAAGGGAGAATCTCTAAGAGTCCAGATTTCATAAAGTTCACACACGCAACGACTCATGAATATCGCAGCGCAGGAGTGAAACTGGTGTCACTCTCTGTTGCAAGGCTAAGGTTTACACAAGGCAACCGCCGGAAAACCCCAACTCTGCCCCTGTTCTCCCATCCCCCTCCCGCTCTCCTGCCGCTCACACCTCAGGGCGCTGGGACAGGGCGATGCTCATTTATGGACCGTCTCGGGCGCCAGGAACTGCCCGGTGAGTGAGAGTGACTCGCAGGGTGAAACCGCGCTTGGGCTAGAATATAATAGAATCAAGCGGGGAACCCCAGAGGGGAACGGAAGATACACCTTACACCCCGGATTGCCCTGCCTGGACAGAGGAAGTGACGCAGATTGTCACGTGGCCCTGCAGAGAGAGGTGCCAGCCCCTTTCCCCCCAGCAGCCAGTGTCTGAACGTCCTGGGGTCAGTTGCTGGGAACCAGGAGTTGCTGTGACCGGGGACGTGACACTGGGGCCCGTCCTGCTCTGCCGAGAAGGGGACGCTGCCCTGGGCCCCTGCTCCCTGGCCCGGTCTTGTAGCGTTTCCAGGCTGCACAGACATGGGGGGAGGAGAGGGAGCGGCAGAGCCCGGGGAAACGACATAAGCCGGAGGACACCGCCCGATATTACCGTGCGAGACACTCACTGCGACGCGAAAGCGGTTTGAGATTATACAAAACCAGCCCGCGGAATCGCCCTTCCCCCGGCAGCCGCGAGGGGGCAGCAGAGACACACACACCGCTCCTGGCTCAGGCAGGCATCTGGGTGAATGTAACACGAACCCTCCGCTCCTGTTAACTCCTCCGTTGCCGGGCAATGTGTCCCCTTTGGTGCAGCTTCGTCAGGGAACTTCCATCAGTGGTGAGTCCTTTTCTGAGTCAGCGTCTGTCAGTTTGAGGGAGACAAGCGGGTTCTGGGGCTGAGCCACCGTCCTCCAGAGTCAACGGGATTCACCCTCCAGCACTCACTGGTGTTTGCATCGCACCCAATGGAGGAAGCGACTTTCGCCTTGGGTAAGCTTCTCCTTTCCCTTTACCAGGCTTATTGCGGACAAAGCAGGTGCCGGGTCCCTGGTCCATGGCTGCAGTTACACCCGCACGTCCGTGCCCATGACAATGGCCCATGTCAGAGACCCTCCAGCCTTTCTGTTCCCCCCTCGGCCTCACACTGAGACCCCCTCTGCAGCCCCCTCTATACACTAATGCAAGGAAGTTACTTCTCGCCGCTCTGAAATGGTTAGTTACCCTCTCTTGCCTTGGACGGGTTGTTTGGATCAAAACGTCTCCCTCCTCCCAAGACAGCAGCACCCTTATTTCCCGATCCCGTGTCATCTTCTGTGCGTCCATTTCCACCACAGCCCTGTATGGGGGAAAGGGGGAAAGGGAGGGAGAGGAGGAGGGGCACTGCCCTTATGGAATGCGTTGGGAACCTGCACTCTCTCCCTCTGGCCACGGGATGCTCTTCAGGGACGTGACGTCACCTTATTCCTCCCGTCGGCCAGCGCATCCTCAGGATCCCACCATGCAAAAACAGAGAGAGGTTCCTGTTTAAATCTCTCCCTGTGCCCAGGCTGTACCCGCAGAAACAATCCGCAGCCCCCTGGGTCTGGGCAGTGACCAGCCAGTCCCCGGAGAACTTTCCCCGCCAGCGCCAAGGACATGACAGTTTGGCGCAATGTAGGTTCATTGTAGCAGCGTTGGCAGGTGCCTTCTTTGAACGGCCAAGGGGTTATTCTCTGGGGGAGGGGCCAAGGCCGTGATCGTGAATTCGCTTCATCCGGTGACCTCACGCTGTTTCCTGGGAAAAGTGGCTCGTTGGTCTCTTGGTTATTGAAATTCACTCATGGAGCACGTGGGTGTCTTGCTGCTGCGTCGAACGTTTGCCGGGTCCCTTTCCCACCGGGGCCCGCCCGCAGACTCTGCCCCAGTCGGGCCCCGCGCTGGAGAAGCCCGGAGAGGCCCAGACACTGCAATGCGCCCCCAGCGGGTTTGCTCTCAGCAGCACCTGGATGGGCGGGGGAGGATTCTGACGAATCACAAACAGCCTAACGCCGCCTTCATGCAGGGCCGATTCGTAGCCACCAAGGACAGCTCCCATTTCTACCTGCGCATGCGCATCCCGAGGCGCGAGGGCTTCACCTTGTGTTACTGCGCCAGAGCCGCGCACAGAGGGGAAGCCAGGCCGGGTTCACACAAAAACCTGCCTGAGGCTGCGGGGGGAGAAATTCCCTGCCAGAGGCGCTAATGAGTCACGGCCCGCAGGAAGCACGCGTCGGGAGCGTTGCAGAGAAAAGGGACGGAGGAAAAATATGCGTTCCCCCAGTGAGGGGCTGTATCCCTCTAGCTGCGCATCCCAGTCTGAGTGAGCGGCCAAATGTGCCAGCGGCATCGGCCACTCACCGCATCAAACTGACCGAGCGCAGCGGGAAGGGATCGGAGGAAAGTTACAGACACTGTGCGAACTGGGGCTCGCGTGTCCCAAGGGGCGTAAGGGAGCAAGAATCGCATCGAGCGTCTGTGGGATACGAGAACCGAATCGCATTAAATCTTCTTGAACCCCAGGCCTGGAGCTGCATCTCCCACCGAATCCGACCAGAGAGGAGACATTTTCTCACCCCCGGGCTCACAACAAACACAGTGTAAGCGGGGGAATGGTCCTGCTCTTGTGGGGAACTTTCCTGGCTTCTATACACCCCGGTGAAATGAACCAGCGAAAGGATCTGAGTCCCCGCTCCCACTTCCTTTACCCCACGGCTCCCTGATCCTGAGGGCTCCCCCTCCACTCTCCTGAGTAGCAGAGCCCTTGAAACCCCAACAAGGCTGGGCCCAGGTTTCCTGGGGCTTAATCCCTGACCTTGTAGTCACTAGGGGCAGGAGTTAGGGTGTCCCCACTCCGAGGTGCTCTCTTTACACTGCAGGCCTTCTTGGCCCAGTGATCACTTCATAAGGTTCAAAGCAAATACAATTTATTAAACAACAACGGATTAAAGAGAAAAGAATAAGAAAAAAATGAGAATGGTTAAATGAGAACACACAGCCCTGCTCTGTAGCACAGGGACATCAAAACAGCAGTCTGCAGAGTGTAAGGACAGTTCACAGTCTCTTCCTTAGAAGCCCTGGAAGTGCTGCAAGGGGCTGCAGGCTGGACACGCTTGCACTGGCAGTGACCACACAGCCTCAGTCTCTAAGTGGCCAGACCCCTCTCCCAGTCCAGAGCCTTTCCCCACACTTTGCAGGTCCCAGTAGCTCACCACATCCAGCTGCAGGCTGTGCTGCTTGGCCAGTTCCAGCTCCTTGTGTTGTTTCTCTGTTCCTTTTGGCTTTCTGAGCACTGCCAGTCTGCTGCTCAACACAGGGTCTGCACTGCTTGGCCTGTCTGTGTCTGGTTCTGTCGCTGCAGGACTTCTTCTTGTACTCCTCTTTCAGATCTCTGTCTTTGCAGGACCTCTCCTGCACACAGCTCGCTCTGCTCTTTCAGCTCCCTGTTTGCTCAGAGAGAGAGCCAGAACAACCCCCACTTACAACCTGTCAGTCAGGCTGAGCTGGAGTGTTGACTGCTTTCCATTGTCTCTGGGGTCTGTCAGTCTCATGAACCCTTCCCCTTCTGAAGCTGGTAAACCAAAAACTCCCACAGAAGTCTCTAAGTGGCCAGACCCCTCTCCCAGTCCAGAGCCTTTCCCCACACTTTGCAGGTCCCAGTAGCTCACCACATCCAGCTGCAGGCTGTGCTGCTTGGCCAGTTCCAGCTCCTTGTGTTGTTTCTCTGTTCCTTTTGGCTTTCTGAGCACTGCCAGTCTGCTGCTCAACACAGGGTCTGCACTGCTTGGCCTGTCTGTGTCTGGTTCTGTCGCTGCAGGACTTCTTCTTGTACTCCTCTTTCAGCTCTCTGTCTTTGCAGGACCTCTTCTGCACACAGCTTGTTTGTTCAGAGACAGAGCCAGAACAATCCCCACTTACAACCTGTCAGTCAGGCTGAGCTGGAGTGTTGACTGCTTTCCATTGTCTCTGGGGTCTGTCAGTCTCATGAACCCTTCCCCTTCTGAAGCTGGTAAACCAAAAAACTCCCACAGAGTTTTAGTAAGGGGTAACAGTCCCCTTACAACAGGTTTTTCCGCCCCGCACCACGTGAGCCAAAACCCGCTGATGCCAGTGAAACTATTTCCTTTCCCCACAGCCGATTCCCAGGAAACCCCTATATTCATGGCCAGCTATGTGACGTCATTTCTCCTTCTCTCCCCAGAGCTGTGAGAGCCCAATCCGGACCCCCGCGCTGTGCCAGGCGCTGCACAAACACAGAGGAAGGGAGAAGCAGATTCCTTCTGCCGGGCACTCCATGGCAGTGACTTGGCTTGCTCAGGGCAGGCGTCTGTGTCTCTGATAAGGAGGGGAATATGCAAATGGCGGTGACCGGGGCCTCCTTAAATCGGTGTCTCTCTCTGCCTAGGCTGCACCCGGAGAGACACCCCGCAGCCCCCGGTGTCTGTGCAGTTACCAGCCAGCTCTGACCCCCACAACGGGGAAAATGAATTTTTGGGTCTATTTAGTTTTCGTGGTGGCAGCTTTGCCAGGTATTTTCGAACTAAACTCTCTGGAGAGGCGGAGGAAAAATTTGTGTTTGTTATTTTGATACTAATGTTCTTATCGCGTCTTCGTTCCCAGGTGCCCGGTCCCAGGTGCAGCTGGTGGAGTCCGGAGGGGATGTGAAGAAGCCCGGAGACTCTCTGCGCCTCTCCTGCAAAGCCTCCGGCTTCACCTTCAGCAGCTACACTATGAGGTGGGTCCGACAGGCTCCCGGGAAGGGGCTGGAGTGGATCTCTTCTATCAGCGGCGATGGGGATACTCCGTACTACCTTGATACGGTGAAAGGCCGATTCACCATCTCAAGGGACAACCCCAACAACCTGCTGCACCTGCAAATGACCGGCCTGAAGCCCGAGGACACCGCCCGCTATTACTGTGCGGGAGACACAGCGACACGAAACATATTGTTGTTCATGCAAAAACCCAGGCTGCAGAACCCGCGGCCGCCACGCGGGGGCAGCAGAGACACAAAGAACCGGGCGCTGGGCACAGAACCGAGAACAAGCTTCGGTGGATGAAATACAAACCCGCGGGGAGATTTTAACCCTTTTAAACAGTTCCCCGCTTTGCTTCCCCTGGGCCTGCGGGGCAGACATCGCTGGCTGCTTCTGCCAGTCCAGTTGAGGTGGGAGCCCTGTTCCCACGGCCCGGCTCGGCTTGCAGATCGGGCGCTAGCACTGATGTAAAACCTGGTTTATGGGACTCGTTCCCACGTGGCTCTTGCGCTCTCCTTCCCCCGCAGGAACCCGGGCTCAGCTTTCTCGGAGCCACCCCGGCCCGGGAGGGAAGGTCCCCCGTGGCCTGCGCTCTGCAGGAAGTCACACTGAGAGGTAACAGCAGTTCCTTCTGCCCCTCGGCTCTGTGCCAGCGCCCGTGGGGCGGAGGGTGCCGGGAACGAAACGCGCATACTCAGTCAGTCCACGAGCAGTTATCAGAGGGGCAACAATCAGAGTGGATGTGTTGGGTGTTGTGTATATACAGGCCTTGGGCGCCTAGGGACATAACACTTCGCAGCCACATTTCTAACATAATCATGACAGCGAACGGCAGTTTTCACCCACACACCAGCCTCATATTCAGAGAGAGTTTGTCGTTCACAATTCCCCTGTTGTAGCAGGAAATCCGCGTCTGGGGTCCTGAAAAACTTCCTGAATTCTTATCAGTTTCTGAACTATTCTATACTGTACTCTGGGTGATGAGCCGAGAGCCTGGGCGCTTGCCCCCTCCCCCCCGCCCACTCCCTAGAAGCCCCAGCCACTCTGCTCCGCTGTTTTGTGAAAATCCAGGCCCAGCCCCATAGCGAGGGTGAGGCCCCACAACTTACACCCGCAATGCGAAAGTCTTTGCCCAACATCTGACCAGAAACACACACCAAAAAGAAGGAAAGGAGGAAAAGGCAAGCTAGAACCCCAGTTCCCTTTACGCTGATCCAGAGCCTGGCAGGAGCAGTAACTGGTGCACATGTGACCACTTCTGTACTTACTGCACCATGGATCTATTTTCTGGCATTCGAATTATCCCATTCTCCTGTCCAAGGAGGGAGAGACAAAGAGACAGAAACCAGCAAAGAGCCCAATCCAGTGGGGGAAATAAAAGAATCCCGAGTGCAACTTTGAAAGCAGAGTGGTTACAAGTTCTGAGCAGAGTATTTAAGTTAAGAAAGGAAATAGGTGACTTCCTGGAAAACAGCACAGTCTCTCTGTGCCTTTTACTTAAAGCAAGGCTGGGCAATAATTTTTGAAGGGCGGGGGGAGGGGCACTTCACAAATTTCAGAAGTGTCCATGGGCTGACCCAGAAGAAGTGTGGGCTGAGGCAGAAGGGGAGGGACCTCAGACTGTAAAAAGACACCCATATGTTTTTACACAACAAAGTAATTAATAATAATTAACTGCATACAACAATATCCAACGACTGTCATAGAAGGCAAAACGTCTGAAATTTGTAATAATAACACAAACATTTTGAGAACACTTATAACATTTATAATAACAACAACACTTACAGTAAACTTTAAGTTACATCAGTGGTGAGCACTATCCAACCCATGGAGTGGACACACTTCACCAGGGTTAGTCCCAGCTGGCCACCAATGCCTTATTTACATGTACCTCCTCTGGTACAGCTTCTTGAATCTCCCATTTACCAGGCTGGGAGTGGTGATCCACAGCCAAGAGGAGCTTTAAATGGCCATATGTGCAGAGGCACAGGTTAATAACCACTGGCAGAAGCCACAACCGATGCATTGCCCTCCTGAGTGTAACACAACTTATGTGCATTAAATGTAAGTGTAAAAGTAAAAAGCAACTTAGTGTGAAGAAGAAAGTCTATGTTGGGCATTAACAAGGGAGGTGAAGTCAGGTGTTATTTCTGATGTTACAGTGTGGAACACTACTGCAAGGTGGACATCAGTGATAGAAGCAGCGAGGAGTCCTGTGGCTCCTGATAGACTAACTGAAGTGTAGGAGCATAAGCTTTCGTGGGCAAAGATCCACTTTGTCAGATGCATGCCATGCATGTGACAAAGTGGGTCTTTGCCCACGAAAGCTCATGCTCCTACACTTCAGTTAGTCTATCAGGTGCCACAGGACTCCTCGCCGCTTTTGCAGATTCAGACTAACACGGCTACCCCTCTAATCAGTGATAGAAGATCTGCTCTTCCATTTAGTGAATGTCATCACAGAAAATGTCTGCTCACAGGTGTAAGTTGATCTGAACAATACAAGCATCTGCTGGGCATGAGCCTTGATTTTTTTTCAAAGTTTTGTTCACTGAGAGATGCATAAAATTCCAGCAGTGGTGTTGCTTTGAATTGCTTCACAAGCAAGACATCACTCTGCAAGTCAATAAACTCCATTTGGGGGCTCATTTGGACCATTGTCTACCACATATGTGAAAGGACATTCTTTACAAAGAGCTTCTATTCTATTGTCCGGCAGGCATGAGCCCTTTGAATAGAAGCAGGTGAAAGGGCTCACACCTCCCGGGCAGCTCCAAGGCAACAGGCCAGTGGGGCAGAGCTGTGAGCCCTTTCAACTGCTTCTGTTCAAAGGGCTTGCATCTGTGGGTGACTGCCAGGCAATGCAGCCCCCCAGCAGGCGAGCCCTTTAAATAGAAGCAGTTTGAAGGTTCATGCCAGTCTCCTGCTCCAGGTAATGATTTGGGGGTGGAGCTTGAAACTGCCTCGCAGGCCAGATCAAAGCTATAGGCAGCTGGATCTGGCCCACTGAGAAGCTTTTCTGCATCTGTGCACTAAAGGCTTCTGCTTATAAACCCTCCCAGTGTTACAGACTCCCTGTAATTGGCTGGGATGCTGCCTTTCCCCCACTGCAAAAACAACAACCACCTCCCTTTTCAACCCAGGAACATACACTTGGTAATTTCTTCCCTTGGGGTGCCCAAAGCTTTTTAACCCTCCCTCAGCTACAGCCTCAGTTTGGGTGGGCACGCTTCATAGAACTGCTCCATCAGGACCAGCCTGAGCAGCTCCTCTGCGGTCTGGGCTCCGACTCCAGACACCCACTTGCGGCAGTATTGCGCCAGGCGGGAGGCCAGATCCACATAGGTCTCCCGTGGCCCTTTCTGTACCCCCCGGAACTTCTTCCTGTACATCTCGGGGGTCAGCCCGAACTTGTGCAGCAGGGCCTCCTTGACTCGGTTGTAATCCCCTGGCTGTAGGTCCTCCAGCTGACTGAGCACTCCGGCCGCCTCCTGGCTCAGTGCGGGGATGAGCTCCTGCAGCCAGTCAGCTGGGGGGACCCGTTGCAGTCCACAGGCCCTCTCAAAGGAGCTGAGGAACCCGTCTATGTTGCCCATGCCCTTCAATTGGGCCACCACGAGCCTCTCCAAGTGTCTGTGAGGCCCATCCGCACTCAGCGTAGCCGGGGCCCCGCCGGTTCTCCGCTCTGCCATGGCCAGCTCATGTTGTCGCCGCCTCTCTCGGTCCTCTACCTCCAATTCCTTCATCCACAGCTGGATCTCCAGCCACCACAGCTCTGCTGCGCTGGCTCCTGCCCTAGATGGACTACTGCTTGCAGGCCTCCCGAGGGAAGCTGTCCCATCTCTCCGGCAGGCTCCAATGCTCTTCCCACCCTCAGTGCCTGACACGCTCCCAGGGGAGGTCTGGCTGCTTCCCCTGGGGACAGAGTCCTGGCCCTGTGGCTGGTCATTCTCTTCCAGCTGGGCAATCAGCTGGGCCTTGGTTGCTTTCTGCACAGGCAAGCCCCTCTCTCTGCACAGCCCCACCAGCTCTGCCTTCAAGAGTCGGGCGTAGGCCATCTGCCCGCTGGTCCCCTCTATGCAGACTCACCAGTCTAGTGCTGCAGCACCCCACGATTCCCAGGAACTGCTTCACTCTGTACCCCCACTATTTCACATGGCTGGTTTCTATGCTGCTGGCTCTGTGGTAACCCCCACTGGCTGCCGTCGGTACCACGGCCCAGAAGGACAGAGGATGAGTCATTATGCAAAGAGGGTCTCTCAACCTTTTTGACCAGCTACCCCCCAAGGAGAAGGGGGAATGCCCCTGGCTGGGGGGGCAGGGCTGGAAGAGAGGTAGTTAGTTTCTGTCTGGGAGCATGGAGGAAGCAGCCTAATCAACAGGCTGGGGGGTTTAGAAGCCGAGACCCCCGCATATAAAGGGGGCTGAGGCATCCTAGGCCTGCCCTGCAACCAGATGACATCTGTGCTTTACTGTATGCTGTAGAAGAAATAAACTCCCTCTATTCTACTGGCTGGTGGAGTCTGTTCGTGCCATTTCGGAGGTGCAACAGAGACACCTAACCGTCCACCTAGCTGCCTACCTATGCCTCCAATCCATAATCAACAATCAATAACCAATGAGCAGACGTCAATAATCAATAACGGCTGAGTTTGGGAGCATCAGGCATAACAGTTTGGGGGTTTGGAACAGGGATAGGTGCGGAATAACTCGAATCCCAGGCCCCAAAATTCGATTTCTTCGGCGCCTGCTTTGTTTACACGAATGACTGGACCCCAGAAATTAATGAGACAGACTGGAGCGTGGTGAGAGAGTTTAATTCACTCTGGGGTTTTGTGTTTTCCTCCTTTGGAGCAACAGAGCAAAGTGTGTGTGTGAGAGAGAGAGAGAGAGAGACTGTCCGTCTAGGAGGGGCACAGGGACGCAGAGGGGCCTTTAGATCAGTGCTTCTAGTCCCTCCCCGGGGCGCTCCCTCCATATGCAAATCCCCGCTCCGAGCTCTGGGCTGAAGTAGCGGCTCCCCGGGGGCCCCCACC